ATTTATAAATATTTAATGGTTATTATTAATATCTATCTATACTATCTTATTATGCAAATTTAACAAAAGTCTTAAAGTCATAAAAAACTAAATGACCAAAATATCATTTATACTCATTTTTTTACCTCCTCCTCTCCTTACATACACTCACCCCCTCACAACCATTTTTTTAAAATTATAATTTTAAATTTACACTTTATACCCATATAATTAATTAATTAATTTACTTTACTTTACGTCATTTACTTTTAAATGTTTCATTTTAAACTTTTATTAAATTAACATATATAATCGTATATCAATTAAAACATGTTTAAAAAATTACATTTTTATTTTAACAAGTTACACCATTATARTCGTCTCKTTAATACCTTCGAAATGAGTCAAATATTGAATAATTTTTTACTTAATTATATTATTATATATTATATATACTGTGAAAAAATATTTTTAATATTTACGATTTATACTTTTATAGTTATTTATTTATATATATACTATATATTTTGGGGTTAGGCTGTCCAAATTGCACTGTATAATATGTTTTGAATTAATATGTTCTTGAGTTTTTTTGAAATATATCTATACATGTATTAATTCAACCTTAATATGAGTTTCTGGACAAGAAAGTGGGTAAACAGTTGAAATTTCATTCTAAAACTCATATTTTTTTGTCTTTTCATGACTTATGATATGTCAAATTTGTAGTTTTCTTTATTGGTTTTGAGTGTTTATCTTAAAACTCAAGTTTTTTGGTTCTTTGCTCTTGGTGTAAATCGAATACATTTGTGGAGTCGTTTAAATATGTTGGATTTTAAATATATTGGATTTTAAACTGTCATACAATTTTTTTCATCGATAGTCTGTAATTGGAACCATAACTCTTATTTATTCAAATTGTATTAATATGTAAAGACCAAGTGTAGCATATATCATCGTTAAATCTTATCTTATAAAACCAGTGAAACTTCAAAATCATTAAAATTCATGGCTCCCGCCGCATTGCACGGGTACATAACTAGTTGTATAATTAAAAATAATTAATAATGTATAATTAAAATTAATTAATAATTTTTAATTACTATAAATTAATATTTATGAATAATTAATATTTATTTTTAATTAATAATAATGAGGGTTATAATCGAAAGAAGAGCCAAAAACACCTCATAAGGTACTCCAAGTAGCTTATCAATAAGTTAGCTTATATGTATCCAAATGATTACTCAAAAAAATAAGCTAGCTTATGTTTTCCAAACAATGCCTGAGATAATGTGCCTTCACTTGAATTTGGTGACTACATTTGATTTACAGTTCCTAATAGTTTGTATACATTATGCATATATAAACCAAGTCTTACAAGCATCGAGGCGGTACTAATTCATAACAACTTAATAAACAAAATCATTACAAGTCTCAAAGTTTAATAATTTGTTCTATTAACAATTTTCTCACTTTACAGATTGCTATCTGTTTGTAAATTAAACAACAAATCAACAAGTGATTAGTTGTGTACAAATGGATTCAACTCTTACCAAATATATAAACTCAAATCATTCTTACAATGATACCTCACAAACTAAGGGGCCGTTTATCAAATACTTACCTGGTAAGTGTTTATTGGTAAATTTTAACACTATTATTTACTTACCGGGTAAGGTTTTAGTCCACTAAAACGACATCACATGTAATAATTTACCCGGTAAGCGCTTACCGTGGTAAGAATCGTCACCCTCACTTACCGGGTAAGATTCTTGGTCCTTATCTCGCTCTTACCGGGTAAGATTATTGGTCCTTAGTATATTAATCCAGTAAGGTAATATGACTTGATAAGCACTTACTCGGATAAATGTTTGGTAAACAGCCCTTAATATGATTCTACCTAGAGTAAAGATTGTTGTTGTTAGGACG